AAATCATTGTTTGTAGATAGCTGCATGTATGTGTAAACCATGTTACACACATATTTCATTGATACACAAAGACAAGAAAAAATGAACGTTGTTTAAATGCAGCAAATTAGGAGGCCCGGCAAGATAGATTTGGTTGGTATCAAGGTACCCATGAAAGAAGACAAATGATTCATGTTTACAGTATTGTGAATGAAAATCATATTAAAATTAGATGTGGTGTTTTTGTATTTGTATTCTGGCTGCTTTGTTTATCCTAATGTACAGAGTTCAATATATCTTGAGTATTATTTGTACCGTTACTGTTGCTAGGATACCATGATTTTGTAATTCACGTGGAGAGTAACGACAGATTATTATGTCCCATTGTTATTTTACAAAGTGTATTCTCATAAAAATGTTCATGGTTTCTATGGTGATTTTCAATGTTAATTATGATGTGATTTTCTTTCCTAGGTCAAATTTCATGGGCACACAATTCACAATATATGACAATGGTATCAGCCCGGGAAAGCCTGGCAGAATGGAAGACGGTAGTAATGTACGAGAAGAGGTATCAGCCGTCATTTATGTAAGTCACTTAATCTTCTAGATTTTTTTTTTATTCTCTTTTTTATATTTCAAATTGGATACAATCAAAATTTGCATTTTACTAGACATAATGTCTAGTAGAATTAAAAGAATATACAGGCATGTTACAAGAAATTTGAATTATTTATTACTTTATGGTTAGCAAGTGAAACAGACAATAAACATCTCAAACTAACTAGATAAATAAATTTGCATTTAAAACATGTTATGACTACTGAAACTTAATCATAGGCATACAGTCATCCGTACCTGCCTGCTGAAAATAAGATCATCCAGTGGTGTCCATCTGTGGTTGGCTATAACTCAGTGCTTATCCTCATAAATTATACTAATGTGTTGGGTAATGATATATTTTAAAATGGTTGTTTGTGTAGTTAGTGATTAGCTTTCGAAGCAAGAACAAGAAAAGTTTCCACATCAATACCATAAAATTTGTATTATATTCTGAAGATTCTTAAATTAGCTAGTAATCAATTTAATGATTACCATATTAAAAAGTCAAATAGATACAATTTATTATTTAGGTTTTTTCAGATTTTATGAACAGATAAATATAATTAATTATTTAGTTTTACCCAGATTTTACGATATCCTAAATACATGCATACATAGCCTGTTTCTGATTGATGATGTCATACCATGCCTATATAAGGGCAAATCACAATTGGCACATAAAAAAAATGATACATGTGGATAGACCTTAATAGGAGCTGTAGGCAGAGCTATATAGTGGCATGTAGAATTGCTGTTTAAACACTGATTGAGTTTGCAGATGAATTAATTCACATGATGCTATGCTTTGTGTCTCCTGGGAGTTGAAATGAACACATATTCTCATGTCATTTTAAATGCAGATCATTTAAATTCAATTACATTCTGATGTGTGTCACTTTGTAACATCTTTACTGATGACTCAGCAATAATCTTAGCACATGCATCAATTTCAATATATTAAAAAAAACGGTTTTATTGCTTTTCATTTCAAGTGTCCTATATTTATATTAATTTGCGTAAATGAATGCAATATACTGTACATTTTAGTGTGAGTGTAAGGATTTGTGATACAACGAAGCAAGTTTTTTTAAAAACATGAATACTTTATAAATTCAGATTTTTGTATAAATTCTTTATTGTAAATTATATTTAAAACAGATTGTAGCAATTAATATTGATACAAATGATATTACATATAAGTACATGAAAACTGAATATAAGATATTCAAAAATATCAAACAGCAATCACAAGCATCAAACATCAGTTATTATTTAATAACAAAACATTTAACATAGAGAGAGCAGCTTAGCTCAGTCGGCTAATCTGGTGGTAGCCACTGCATGTGCGCTGAACCGTGGAGATCTCTAGGTCCCTGGTTCAATTCCCATCGCTGCCTCTCCTTGTGTTTCAGGTTTAGGGCTGAAATACAAGTTACAATAGCGCACCTTTCTTTCGGATTAGACGTTTAAGCCGTTGATCCCGTGTGCATTTATGGCCCATGTGCACGTTAAAGAACGCAGTACATTCTGTACTGCCCAATCACCACCAGAAGGACCCCACTGGAAATATAAGTCTTCTTCTAGACTTCCGTGGGCTATCCTGGGTGTTTACACTGAATAAATCCAATCCAATCCAATACAGTCCTATAGATCAAGTGCAGCTGTAGTCACTATGTATGAATATAATTATGATGTTTATGCATTTCAATTTTCATTAATCTAGGGACCTTTGTATAACGTGTATATTTTCTGATGTGTGTGTGTTGACAAACCTGGCTTGTGCATTGCTAGTTGGGTCACCTAAGTAATATTGCACTATGCTATTTCTTTTTACTGTATGTTTTAATTAATTTAGGATATATGGCTTAGGTATGTAACTTGCCTAATACACAAGTGATTATTTACCTACCCATGATTTACAGTCTTATACATAGAATAAATATCTTGTATTTAGCCAACAGTTAAAATACCATCATTACTTTGACATTATTACTATCTGTCTTACACTTGAACTTCAACACATTCAGAGTTCCATGCTGTAATTGAGTGTGCACTATTACACCACAGGCAATTAAATTGTGGTGACCTAAGCCAAAAAAATTAAATGATAGGTCATGAAACAGCCAGGTATTTTAATGGTATTCAGGTTAGTCGTCGTTTAGCAATGCCCACGCTCAGGCAGTTTAATGATTTACCATCTATGGTGGAGTCTGAAGAAAACAAAACATACAAAATCAATTAGAGTACTGAATTACTTATTTAAAAGTACCAATGTTACCAACAATTATGCATTCATTTCATTTATTCGTCTCAAAACATTAAAATTGACAATAAAGGAAACGTAAAGAATAAGCACAGACAAATATGAGACAGGGCACCCCAAAAGTAAACTTAATCACTGTTGAGTGGAGGCCTTCACAAGAAACAACTAAATGCTTATAGAATATACGTTTTTAAAAATAAAAGAACATTTAAAGTTAAAAATTTAAAAAGTTCAATAGTAAAATAGGAATTAATTGATTACTAACAAATTTAATGGTCTTACAAAACAATATAGGAATAATATCAGTTATGACTATTAATCTACAAGGTAATTTTATTATTATGGATAAATTATGAAAGTTCAAACTCAAGACACTGTCGTTAACGTACTAACATGGTACCATTTATATGTATCAGTACTTTCAGAATGTTATGTTTGCCCATATGAATTACATTCTTGGTAACATTAAACATGGGATTAAAAATATAATGAAAAAGAACAAAAATAAAAAAAGTGTCACCTTCATGAACACTGATCTTTGCTACAGCAGTGTCCCAGTTTGAGACAATGCGATATATCTGCAACTTCACTTCAGATATGATGGAGTTCTGACATTTGGAAAAAGAAAGTACTAAGCTAGGAACAACTTTTGCTAAATATGGTGTTTGAGCTTAGAATTGGAAATTACTCAAAATGTTATGGCAGCCTAAATTTTCTTTCACTTACTAGTATTTACTGGTCAGTTAATCTTTATACCAATTGATATCTATTACTGCTGTGGTTTCAATTTGAGGTATGAGGGCTATCTCTGATACTTCACAGCTGATAAAAAAAAAAAAACACTTATTTATCCACTGCTGCAAAAATTTGCCCTTCCAAATTTTCCCAAATAATATAGTAAATTCTGTGATATACAATTCAAATAATATTAAAATAGATTGATTTTTTTTATAAGAATCTTTTTTCTTTAAAGTTAACATTTATAACAAAGATATACAGTCCTAAATATCTTGTTTATTCTTCAAGGATACAAATGTGCTAGGATTTAAAGGACCAAGGAAAATGACAGTAATTATACCTGGAATGAGCTTAGACCATGAAAGAGTTCCAATCAGACCACAAAATGTAAGTTGTTTTGATCTAAAGTTTACAATTGTACACCTCTTCTGCTCTTTAAGAATAAAACTTAATCTTATGTGTGATTATGTATCTCACCATGCTGTTGAAGCCTTATGGTAATCTTGCTCCGTAAGTGTGTCAGGAGTGATTGAGATTGAATAGAAAATTATACTTATTTTACATTGCACCTAAATATAATGAAATAAAAGCTTGACTCTAAATACATTATAAAATCGTATATTATTTCATTTGCAGGAGCGAGATGGTTTGATTGAACGATTCAAACGTAAACAAATGGAGAATCTACTTGAACTCCACAACAAAACACCTGTTTGGAATGATGGTAAGCTATTAAAGTCTGCATCTCATTTCAAATGATAATGGTATCTGATAAATTGTCTATATTGATGATGAAATATTTCATAGAACTTGTGAGTGAAAATTTGGTGAACAGTTGATGCAAGTGTCTTACTATATGTAACTGTTGATGCAAACCATCTAAGCATTGAAGTGGCCAGAGGTGGATCCAGCGGGTGGCAAACTGGATGTTCGCAGTAGCCCAAAAATCACTAACCAAGTATGAGATCATTTTAACGAAAGAGATTAAAATGGCTAAAACTCCTAAGCTTCCAACTGGCATAGCCCCTGGATCACCACAATAGGTAAGGGAACTTACCAAAATTGTTGTCTCTTGACCATATTTTATGCCCACTTTGGGCCTTAGGCTCTTGTTTGCCACTTGCACCATCCCGGCTATAAAACTTCTGGATCCGCCACTGGTGACTGAGACAAATCTTCCCATTTTAGTCGTTCACATAGCAAAGTTGATGTTGGTTTAAAATAAAACTAATCAGATGCTAAAGATGCCAGGGAATGTTCAAACATATTTAACACGCTCTAAACATTTTACTCTCTTTTCAGACACACAGTCTTACGTACTTAATTTTCATGGTCGAGTCACTCAGGCATCTGTTAAGAACTTTCAGATTGTCCACGAGAATGATGGTAGGTATTATGTGTGAAGATTTCAAAATAAACTTATTATAATTCACTGAAAGTATTATTAACATGCAATTTATTTTTCTATAATTAACCTTTTTAAAAATGGAAATTGTAAATTCCAAGTTGTAAACAAATGATATATTAAATAAGTCAATACACTCTTTGTAAGGTAAAACTAGTAAGAGGAATTAAGTAATTCAATATAAATATTTTTTGGAAAAGCTTGCCATCTAAGTTGTATTGCTTGACATTTACCAAAATGTCTTCCAAGAAGTTTGTAATTTGAATGAAAATGAGCAAAAGTCTTCTTAATGTTGAATTAACTCTCAACAGACTCACAAGCTTCAAATCTGTTTATTGCTTTTCGTTCCCAAATTACAATTCTCTAGGAGTTTTACAAGAAAATATTGCACGATTCTCTTTAGTTATTTATTGCACCATAACGTGTGATGGTTGATATTTTTACTAGTATTCTTTAATCATGTTCTGTTCTTTGGAATGTCTGTGTTAGGCTGCTTTATGTGAGTAAGTCAATTTATTGTTGTGAGAATCAGAACACATTTGGGAATGTATCTGAACATTCGTAGTAACAGAACACACTGTAAAACTATCTTAGTGACATTTAATGAAATTCTCCCTTTTTCGATAAATGACCAAGTCATGAATCTTTGGGTGAATTTATCTTTGTGGCATTTCATGCAGTCATTTTTTTTTTTGCCTCAACGGTCGCTTAATCATCATTTTTATGAGAGTTGTTTTGTTGAAAGACTGGTGGGCAGTTAAAGTAAGATGTAAGGAAATATTTGTGTAACATAAACAGGTTTTGCATGAAAAATACATGTATATTTATAAAGAGATTTGACTTTTGAGTACATTCTTGTAATCAGGTGAGGAAACTGTTAATCCAATTCATCAAACATAATGGAATTTGCCAGTTTTATGTTCTAAAAGGTGTTGACAACTTACAGCTGTATCATTTCAAATGAATCTTTAGTTGACGACATTATTCATCTTAAGTATTATTGCATTAGATTGTTAAATATTTTCTACTGTATTATACTGGAAATGTTACTTAATTTTGCTATATTACAGTATTCTGTGAATTAATGGGCTGTGTCTGTTTATGATACAATTTTTCAGCTACTAATTATTTATAGTCATTATATATATACACATTATTAGTTTTCTTTATGTTAATACATTAATGCTAATAATAATCTGTCTGTTTTCTTTTCCAGTGGACTATATCATCATGCAGTTTGGGCGTGTCGGTGAAGAAGTTTTCACAATGGATTACAACTACCCTTTATGTGCTGTGCAAGCGTTTGGTATTGCACTTAGCAGCTTTGACAGCAAGCTGGCTTGCGAATAGATGCAGATTGCAAACATCTCTGCTACATTACCAACTACAACTACTTAAAATTCCAAGTGTATCCTAATTATTGATTTAAAAAAAGAAATTGATGTAATTACTGGCATTTTTTTATTCCTTAATGAACTATTGTTTTCTGCATACTGTACAAAGATCAATCACATCTTTATTTTTTAAGTTTTAATTTTTTTTGCTAATGTAGATTTGTTATATAATTTTAGCTGTATGTTAAAATACCATGTAGAGTGCCCTAGAGATTGTTGACCGGATTTCAAGGATTTTGTGATCCTATTGAATTATACTTTTTCAGAAAACACTGATAATGTGTTCTCTTGCTCCACCTCAAATTTGGTTTCAGTAAGACCACAAACACCAGAAGTATGGGATTATAGTTAATGTGTATTTTTCTGTTTTAAAATGATGTGCTGTATTGATATAGTTCCATCCATGATATATATTCATTGTTAATTTTCACAAGTTTTTGTGTAAAGTTTGACCATAATTACTAATTTTAATAAGCTGGCTTAAAACCTTAATGGAAAATTAAAACTGAAATAATAAAGAATGGGTACTTTAATCTTTTTGGCAGAATGAGAAATAAGCTTTTTCCATATAATTGTGTGCATTTTGGATGTGCTATAGATTAATAACTCTACTGTAAAACACTAATTTCTAAATAGATTTTAAGTTTTTGACAGTTGATGATTTGTTGAGGTTTGTATTATTATTTTCTTATGACCATTTAGAATAGTAGGCATACAGGATCAATTTGTTTTCCACATTTTCATTAAAAAAAAATTATTATTATATTAAATTGTGTAGTTACAGCAACATGTTTTATATGAATATGCAGAATATAACAATTAAATCTGAAAAAAATGTGTTTAGAATGTAGGCAATTTATTTATTTTAAACCCAATATAATAATTAATAGCATACGAAAGATTGTGAATAATGATAGTTCAAAGTGACAGCCAAAACTATTTCAATGTATTGTGGGTGAGCCAGCATATTTAGATACTGTATTTACATAAATAATAATATTTAGTTATGAATAGCATCACAGGCTCATTGTAATTATACAATGTGGGATGATATAAGAATGAGACCATCTGCAAACCTTTATTAAGAGTTAAGCTTATAATAGTGTATAGGCAGTAAGATGGAAAGTTGTTGCATACACCAACACGTTGTTGAGGCCATCTTGAAAATTTAACTCATTTATTTTGAGAGGTCAGTGTTTCAACCTGTTTTTTTTTATTATGTGTCATGTTCAATTAGCAGGTGTCACATTTCATTTGTACGTGTCACATCTTCACCATCACAAATGCAACTACTAAAATTCCTAATTGGATTTGTACTTTTGTATATTTTCGGAAGTTATGTTATGATATATGAAAAGGTTATTTATTTACTTCAAATGTAATGATAGATCACCTAACGATTTGTGGTGTTTATATTTTTATGGTAATGAATTGCCTGCTGGAATATGCAAGGCTTCTTGAAGTGTGTAATAGATGATTGAAGGTTAGCTGCGATTGTAAATAAAGTGTACAGAGAATATAAAATTATATTTCAATTAAGATGTTGTAAATGGTAAAATAACACAGAATAGAAAGTTTGCGTATTGTCAAGCCCTTGTTATCCATTGTTTTAATTAAGAACAGATGCTGGAGATACATAAAAGTTTTGTATTACAAGAGATTTACAAACAGAAATTGCATATATTAAATGAAATCGTCATTTTAGGCTGTGATTTGGAGAAGTGATAGTAGACTAGCCAATTACTCATGCACTTTTTCCTGCTCTTTCTAAACATTTACAGTAACAAAGATAAAACCTATTTCACTTATGTATATGAAATGTGAACAGTTGATAATCTACAAAAAAAAAATAGACAATAAATGGAGATTGAATGTCATAATTATTGTCTTGGAAGTGAAAATCAGAGATGTGAAGACCTAATGAACTGAATTATTCATTATTTTCTTTTCCCAATGAAAAGTTTATAACTGTATATGAAACTGAGTTACTGTATTCTATTAATGTGCTTCATTTACCAGTATGTAAATCCATCTAACCTTTCTTGCTAATTTCTGTGCTATTATTTAATAACTTATATTAATTTAAATTTTAACAAAATAGTATTCTCGCCTACTGGCAAAACGTCTACACCTTGAGATACGAGCCAAATGACAGTTCATCCCGTCCAGAGATCACCAACTCTTCTAGTATTATGTCATTCTCTTTTAAAATTTTCTGTAGAAATGGTTAGATAACAAATTAAATTGCATATTTGTAAATATATGTTAAAATTAATAAGACAATGTTATTGTTGATTAATAATACTGTTATTATTACTGCTATATATGATTATAGTTGCTTTTGTAATTCATTATTAATGTATTACAATTTGTTGTAAAATTATAATTATTAAAAATTAAGAGACGCTTACTATATAATTTCAAAACAAAACTTAATGACAAGAAAGATTGAAGTTTCGGGTCCATCATGATCTTGAGAATGGTTCCATGATGGACCCGAAACATCGATCTTTCTTGTCATTAAATTTTGTTTTGAAATTATAATTATTATTCAAATATTATAATAAAATTGCTTTTATAGTTTGAATTATTTTTTACATTAACATTAGTAATTAATATTTTATTAATATTGTAGTAAATAATAATGCATTTCAGTGTGATGAGGGTGCAGCACATATAACATACAAATCGTAAATTATAATTTAAAACATAAGGAACTTTCATGACATTTAGTACACTGTTTTGTTTTCATTGTAAGTAAATATGAAATTACACGTGTATACACAGCCCTGATGCTGTCAGGAGGCGTGATGTAATTTAATAGCATATGCACATCTGCAGCTACAATACCAGAAGTGTGAATGAAAATAAATGTTGAAATAATAAAATTATGTACAGTACTTTCTTTTGCTTCTTATGTTGGTAATTCTTGCAATGCACCAACGTTTACGATCTATACAAAGAATATAGGAACAGCAGTATTAGTATTATTTTTCTTGCATTTTAATTTTCAATTGAAAGCTTCAGAGTGTATCAAAATATTATTATGCAATTAGAATATCATACACTAGTAGAAATTATTATATGAAAGTTAGATTAATACAAAAAAAAAAATCCAGATCAATGTTTGATTATAAAACTAACATTAAAAGACAACAGTTGACTTGTAAAGCAATTAAAGTAGTGCAGTATCTATACACTAGAGGAAGTTACTATACTTAGATTAATGCATTAAAAAAAATCCTATAAGCCTTGCACGCCATCAGGAATTTTTTCTTTAATTAATCTAATCTTCGTATAATAATTTCCACTATAAAATTACCAATTATCCATTATCATTATCTGTTATGTATTATCCATCCCCTATGCCTATATGCCTATTATCTATTGCCGTTTGCCTATCACCTATTATCAATACCTATTACCAATTATCAAATATCATTATTATTATTTTCTCGTTTCTATTATACAGATATTGAGTGCTCATGAGGGGAATGATGAAATCTATTGCCCTGAGGTGATGTGGAGACCGTAACCTACAGTACCTTCCCTCGAACCTTCGGCCCTTGGGAAGATAGGCTACGGTCTTTACATCTCCGAGTGGCTATAGATTTTACCGTTCCCTGAATCATTCAAACCTACGTCATAGGAGTGATGGTTGAAGTTATTGCACGCTTCATAACCAATCAGATGCCTAGAATCTATGTATAATATTTATTATCAATTGCCTATTTCCTATTGCCAATTACCAATTATCCATTATAAATTATCAATTATCATTGCCCATTACCAATAACTATTACCTAATTTCTATTACTAATTATCCCATTACTAATATTTACTGCCTTGCCTATTGCTTATTTTTTGTCAATTTAATTTGTCATTTAAATAAGTATCTATCAGATCTCTTCCAGACACGATGAAAATGTTAGATCACAGAGTAATTTTAAAACTAAACTAAAAAAACACATTTCAGAAACTTGTTTTACCTTTTGAATTTTAAACATGTTTTTAACGTATGCTTCTCTTTAAAAATAATTGATTCTTGCCTGTGAAGATTTTATCTTTCATAATGTTTTCTAAACATTTTAAGAATTTTTGCTTTTGTACCTTTTTACATTTGTTACATTTTATATATATATATATTGCCTCACCTCATCCATCATCTACAAAGCCACTGTCTACTCAGATGATGACAAAAAATGCTACATCGGGCTC